GGAGACTGAGGCACGAGAATTGATTGCTCAAGTCTGGGAGGTGGAGGTTGCAGTAAGCTGAGATTGCGTCACTGCACTTCAGCCTGAGCAGTAAGACTCTGTCTCAAAAAAAAAATTTTTTTTTCAAATCATAACTAAGACACCTTAAGACACTGGAAAAAAGGAACAAATCAAACCTAAAACAAGTAGAAAGAACCTATTTATGCCTAGTGTTCCATTATTGGAACGCTAAGCTTGTGGGAGTTATTTATATCCTACTGCTCAAGGTTATTGCCAAGGTCTGATTTTTCACACACAAAAAAACTTGCAACCTCCGGCATAAATGGGTTAATAAAGATTGGTGTAGAAATTAATAAAATAGAGACTACAAAAATAACACAGGAAAATCAAAAGTTAGTTCTTTAAAGAGTTTAAAAAAGATAAATCTTTAACTAAATTGATCAAGAGAAAAAAAAAGAATAAAATGAAAGGGATATATAAATCTTACAGAAATAAAAAAGCATTACCAGAGACTACTATAAACAATGGTATGCCAATAAAATTAGGTAACGAATGAAATGCACAAATTCCTAGAAGGACACAAACAACTGAAAATGACTCAAAAGAGATACAGCCTGTACAGACCTATAAAAAGTAAAGAGACTGAATCAGCAACTTGAAAATTCTCCACAGAGAGAAGCCCAGGCCCAGATGTTGTCATTGGCAAACTCTCAAATATTTAAAGATGAATGAAAACCAAGTCTTCACAAACCCTTCCAAAAAACAGAAGAGGAGGGAACACTCCCCATGATTTATACGGGGCAAGTTTCACCCTGACACTAAACTAGACAAAGACACCACAAGGAAACTACAGACTAATACCTCTTATGAATACTGACAGAAAAATCTTCAGCAAAATAATAGTGAACTAAATCTAAAAACATATGAAAAGGATTAAATGGTTTAACACCCAAAAATTAGTTAGGGTAATACAACATTACAAACCGAATAAAGAACAAAAACCCACATGATCATCTCAATAAATGCAGAAAAAGCATTTAACAAAATCCAATACCCCTTTCATGATAAAAACACCCAACAAACCAAGCACAGAAGGGAACTTCCTCACCCTGATAAAGGCCATCTAAAAACCCACAGCTAACAGTATATGAAATTATGAAAGAATGAATGCTTTCCCTTACAATCAGCAGTAAGATAAGGATATCCACTTTGGCCACTTCTACTCAACATTGTATGGAGATCCTAGCCAAGGCAATCAGACAAGAAAATAAAATTAAAGAAATACAAGTTGGACAACAAGAAGTAAAACTATCTCTAGTTGTAGATGATAGGACCCTCTATATAGAAAATCCTAAGGAATCCATTAAAAAAACTTATTGAAACTAACAATTAGGCTGGGCATGGTGGCTCACGCCTGTAACCCCAACACTTTGAGAAGCCAAGGTTTGGGTGATCACCTGAGGTCAGGAGTTCGAGACCAGCCTGACCAACATGGTGAAACCCCGTCTCTACTAAAAATAGCAAAATAAATAAGCTGGGCATGGTGGTACATGCCGTAATCCCAGCTACTTAGGAGGCTGAGGCAGGAGAATTGCTTGAATCCAGAAGGCGGAGGTTGCAGGAGCCAAGATTATTCCATTGCACTCCAGCATGGGCAACAAGAGTGAAACTCTGTCTCAAAAAAAAAAAAAAAAAAAAAAAAAAAAGACTAACAATTAGAACTAATAAATACAGCAAAGTTGCAGAATACAAGAGTAACATACAAAATCAACTGTACAGTTGACCCTTGAACAATGTGAGGGTTGGGGCGTGGCGCAACTCATGCAGTTGAAAATACGTGTCTAACTTTTGACTCCCCTAAAACTTTTTATTTTTATTTTTTGAGATGGAGTCTTGCTCTGTCGCTCAGGCTGGTGCGTGGTGGCACCATCTCAGCTCACTACAGCCTCTGCCTCCTGGGTTCAAGTGATTCTCCTGCTTCAGCCTCCCAAGTAGCTGGGATTAAAGGTATGTGCCACCATGCCCAGTTAATTTTGTATTTTTAGTAGATGGGGTTTTGCCATGTTGGCCAAGCTGCTCTTGAACTCCTGACCTCAAGTGATCCGTATCCCCTTGGCCTTCCAAATTGCTGGGATTACAGGTGTGAGCCACCACACCCAGCCAGCTCCTCGCAAACTTAACCAACAAATAACCTACTGTTGACTAGAAGCCTAAATGATAACATAAGCACTTGATTAACACATATTTTGTATATTATATATTATATGCTGTATTCTCACAATAAAGCTAGAAAAAATACTAAGAAAATCATAAGGAATAAAAAAATATTTACTATTAATTAAGTGGAAGCAGATCATCATAAAGGTCTTCATCTTCATCGTCTTCACAATGAGTAGGCTGAGGAGGAGGAGGAGGGGGAGGGGTTGATCCTGAAGTCACAGACACAGTAGAGATAGGAGAAAACCCACATGTAAATAGACCCACAGAGTTCAAACCCATGCTGTTCAAGGATCAACTACATTTACACATATTAGCAATGAACAATCCAAAAGTGAAATAAGAAAACAATTCCATCTACAATAGTATCAAGAGAATAAAACACTTAAGGATAAATTTAACAAAAGTGCAAAAAATCCTGAAAATTGCAAAAATTGCTGGAAGAAATTAAATATAAAGACATCACATGTTAATGGATTGGAAAACAATATTGTTACGGTAGCAATACTGACCAAATTCATCTACACATTCAATTCAATCCCTATCAAACTCCTAGCTAGACTTTTTGCAGAAATTAACAAGCTTATCCTAAAATTCTTTTGAGATTTCAACAGATGCAGAATAGCCAAAACAATATTAAAAAATAACAAATTTGGAGAACTCCTACTTTCCTATTTCAGAACTTACTATAAAGCTACAGTAATCATAACAGTTTGGTACCAATCTAAGAATAGAAATATAGGTAAATGGAATAGAGTTGACAGTCAAGAAATAAACCCTCACATATTATGGTCAACTGATTTTCAATAATGGTGCCAAGACCATCCATGGAAGAAGAGTCTTTTCAACAAATGTGCTGGAACAACTGGATGTCCACATGCAAAAAAAGTAAATTTGGATTCCTCCCTCACACCACACACAAAATTAACTCAAAATGTACCACAGATTTAAATGTAAGAGCTAAAACTATAAAACTCTTAGAAGAAAATATAAGAGTACATTTTCATGACCTTGGGTAGGACAAAATCTTCTTACATATGACACAAGGAACAACAACAACAAAAATGGACTTCACCAAAATGAAAAGTTTTTGTTCTCTAAAGGATACCATGAGAGCGAGAGCAAACCCACAGAATGAGAGAAAATATTTACAAATTATCTGTCTGATAAGGGACTGTATCAAGCATATATAAAGAACGCTTACAACTCAATAAAAAGACAAGTTATCCAATTAAAATACGAGCAAGGACTTTAATAGACATTTTTCCAAAGAAGATATATACAAATGGCCAATGAACACATGAAAGATGCTCAACACTACTGGCCATCAGGGAATTGTAAATCAAAACCACACCTACTAGGATGGCAATAATCAAAAAGACAGATAACAAATGTCAGCAAAGACATGGAGGAATTGGAACCCTGTGACACTGCAAATAGGAGTACTAAGCGGTGCGGCTACTTTGGAAAACAAAGCTTAAGGTTAAACAGTTACCTTAAAAGTTGTCAGATAGTTACCACATGACCCAGCAATCCCACTCAATAGAATGCTAATTTTTTTTCCCCCCGAGATGGAGTCTTGCTGTGTCTCCCAGGCTGGAGTGCAGTGGTGTGATCTTGGCTCACTGCAACCTCTGTCTCCAGCGTCTAAGTGATTCTCCTGCCTCAGCCTTCCCAGTAGCTGGGAATACAGACATGCACCACCACGCCTCGGCTAATTTTTGTATTTTTAGTAGAGATGGGGTTTCACCATGTTGGCCAGGCTGGTCTCGAACTCCTGACCTCAAGTGATCCACCCACCTCAGCCACCCAAAGTGCTAGGATTACAAGGCTTGAGCCACTGCACCCGGCCAAAAAAATTTTTTTTTCCAAAAAGTCTTCATAGTCAAACCAAGCAGTTCAGCCACAGTCCCTTAATCTTGAAGAGAAATGTATTTTCTTTTTATTCACCTTCAGGTTTTCATATAGATTACACAAGAAAGCTCAGGCTGAGAAGAAAATCTGTTTCAAGGACAGTGTTGATTAATGGGCTGCCTCCGTTTTACAAGTTAATGGTCTACACCTGGTGAACATGTCACTCCCTTTTGGGACGTCCTATGGCAGGAAAACTGAGAGGTGGCTCTGTCTGTGCTGTGTGACAGCCACAGAGCCACTGCTGCTGCAGCGAGCCTCCTCCTCCCCGCGGGCCCCTGCGCCTCCTGCTGCACCTGGGCCCCACCTCGCTCCGCTTTTCCGCACGCAGCGGGAGGCCTTGCCTCATGGGTGCTGAGATCAGGTGCGGCAGCTCGCTTATTCCAGGCTTCACACCTGAAGTTTAGGGCTATCTGATCCTTTCCCTTCATGGGAGAGGAGAGTGGGAGCTGAGATTTTATGATGAAAACCAAATAATGACAAGCTTCATTTGCCCATTTGCAGGCGTACTATTTAAAGGTTAAATATTTCTTATATGCAAGTTTCAAATATCACTCAGTTTACACAAATGGCTAGTTCTACATATTCATTCTGGATGTTTTTCCTAAGGGAAGGTTTGGACACACTGGCTGACGCCCTCGTGGCAGCTGGTCTCTGCACTGAGAGGGGCAGCCAGGGAGCCCAGCGCAGTGAGGGGCATCTATTCACCAAGGCGCCAGGGCCTGGCTCCCCATCAGAACCGGGGAGTTACAGTGAGTGGCACATTGAATCCACATCTCCGCAGTGGATCCCGGGCTCTGCCTGCAGGCCGCTCCCCGCCTCACAGCTGGAGCCCAGCAGGCTGGCCCCAGGGCCACCCTGCACCCACTCACCTGCCACTTGTTCTTCCGCCAGGTGCTCCAAGGGCAGCCGGATGGAGTCGTGTTCCACCAAGGAAGTAATGAAATGGGGCTTGGCCCCCTCCACTGGACTGTGGTGCCCACCCGCGTGTCCCTTTGAGGTCTGGTTTGCGTGGAAATGTTTCACCACAGAATGGATTACTAAATTATTTGACTGCAGAGATACAGCAAAAAAAGCATTTACAAAAACTGTGCTGAGGTAAGGGTTAGAGCAACAATTTCTGTTACTTAATTTCTTTTGTGGCTAATATCAAAAAAGCTTCAAAGAAATTCAGCTTCCTGAGTTGGACCTTTTGAAAGATTTAGGGTTTTCCAACATTCAAAAACTTGAGATTCATTTCCAGTCAATCATGTCTATTTTATTGTTAAGCAATATTATTAATTTTTAAGAATTTATATAAATTATTGGTATAAGTGCAGTTTTGTTATATGCATAGAATATTACGAATTTTTAAATTTTATAAATCTGCCATAAAGAGTATTTTGTCCAGCCACCCACTACTGGTGGGAGTATAAATTGGTACAACCTCTACTGTGGGCCATCTGTCACATCTACCAAATGAGCCCCGTGACCCAGCAAGTCCAGTTCTTGGACTTTTTCCTACAGCTACACTCACAGTGAAACCAAATAGTGCGTATAAAGGTTATTTATTAACATTAAGTGCAGCACTGTTTCTTACAGCAAAACCTTGGAAAGCCCTTAAATATCTATCAATTAGGGATTAAAAGGAATGATTCCAGGGCAAAAATGATGGGGAAAACTTTATGGAAATAACAATGCAAAGCAGGTTACTTTACATATTACATTACGAAAATCCTATTAGCTACCTGAAATTTACTTAAAGGATATATACTAATTATCTCGAGCTAGTATGCAATATAGCAAGACCACACATTACTCTTTCTTTCTTTCTGAGACAGGGTCTCACTCTCTTGCCCAGGATGGGGTACAGCAGCGTGATCATAGCTCACTGCAGCCTTGAATTCCTGGGTTCAAATGATTCTCCCACCTCAGCTTCCCTACTAGCTGGGACTACAGGTGTCACCACCACACCCAGCTAATTTTTTTTTCTTTGTAGATATGGACTCTCCCTATGTTGCCCAGGCAGGTCTCAAACTCCTAGGTTCAACCAACTCTCCTGCCTTGGCCTCCCAAAGTACTGGGATTACAGGCATGAGCCACCACACCTGGCCTACTCTTTCTTTAAATGAAAATGTAGCAAAAGGGAATCACTTTCTGGGTATTTTATTATAACTTGCAGCTAAAAGAACGTGAGCGTGTTCAGAAGCTTTACCTCAGTGCCCCCGGAAGTGAAGATTATATCTTGAGGTTTCCCCCCTATCATCTTTGCGAGGCTTTCCCGGGCTGCATTTATAGTATCCTTGGCCTTTCTTCCTTGAGGGACCAAAAAGGAAATTCGTTAACATTGCTTCACCAAGCCCTATCAACGCTTCTAAAAGGACAACCAAATACAAAGGAGTAAGACATCTGCGTAGGCCGTTCTAAGAAAAACCTGCCCCCTTAATGTGAGCACAGCAAAACACTACAACCTAGACACAACCTGGCAAAGGGGCGGCCGTGAGACAGCAGCGAACCAGTGACCAAACTGAGAGTTATTAACTCCATGAGACCCAGAAACAAGTACGGGAGGTTGGCTAAGAACCTGGATGTCCCACAAGATGTGGCTTTCTTCTTACCAGTTGCTGCGGGGGGAAGCTGTGGCCATCTGCCTTGCTTCCCATTCAAGAAGAGTGGAGAATGAAAGGATGGAATGAGTTGCAAACAACAAAAATAAGCAAAAACAGAACTCATGACTCCTCAACACAAAGTCCAGTGCCATATCTCATTCTGCATGTCGCCTACGGTGTACCTGGGCTGCGAAGGTTACTGTCTCAGGGACACACCTGCTTTCAAACAGGGCTATGCATCCGGCCATCACCCAGTTTCACTGGCTAGAAGGAAAACACAGGAACCATGCTTGCTGGGGCAAAGAAAGAAAGGCTCTGGCATGGGAATTCTGAAAGTTTCAGTGACCATCCTTACTGTACACACCAGGAGTCCCCAAACTTTTTTGACCATTCAGTCTTGTTTAAAAAAAAAAAAAATTGAACAGGCACCACTAAAACATATACTATTACAAAACATCATAAAAAAAAAAAAAAAAAAAAAAAAAAAAAAAAAAAAAAAAAAAAAAAAAAAAAAAAAAAAAAAAAAAAAAAAAAAAAAAAAAAAAAAAAAAAAAAAAGAGAAACATAAAAAGCTGAGGTAAAATAAATACACAAAGTAATTCTGCCGCTCCTTAACGCTACTGTATAGATGTCAGTTTTAGTAGCAGTTTCCTAAACACCTAAGGCCTATGGTGTTTAGGAAAACTCCAGCATTTTACTTGGTGACACTAAAAGTTACCGTAATAAACTGTCACCCTCACTCTCAGCCTTCCCTCTCTCAGTGATAATGGTTTGGCTGTGTCCCCACCCAAATCTCATCTTGAATTGTAGCTCCCATAATTCCCACGTGTCATCAGAGGGGCCCGGGGGGAGGTAACTGAATCACGGCAGCAGGTCTTTCCCATGCTGTTCTCATGACAGTCATTAAGTCTCAGGAAATCTGATGGTTTTATGAAGGGGTGCTCCCCTGCACACGCCCTCTTGTCTGCTGCCATGTAAGGTGTGACTTTGCTCCTCTTTCGCCTTCCTCCATGATTGTGAGGCCTCCCCAGCCATGGGAAACTGAGTCCATTAACCCTCTTTCCTTTATAAATTACCGAGTCTCAGGTAGGTCTTTATTAGCAGCATGAGAACAGACTAATACACTGAGGAAATGGCAACTCCATCCCTCAGCAGCCCAGGGCAAAAGCACGGGCTCTTTCTCTTTTCTTTCCCCACCAATTAATCCACCAGCAAATGCTGTAGGCTCTGTGTTCAAAAGACATTCCGGCCGGGCGCGGGTGGGGGGGGGAGGGGGGGATCCGGCGGTCGGCACGTCCCGCTCTAAAAATACAAAGCCGGGCGGGGGGGGGGGGGGGGGGGGGGGGGGGGGGGGGGGGGCCAGTGCCGAAAGCCTGCATAGGGGCAGACTGTTCAAAAAAAAAAAAAAAAAATCCGAACCTGACTCCGCCTCTCCACCGCCCAGCCACCAGCCAAGCCAAGGCCACTGCTGTGATGTTCTCCTAGCAGGCCCCCACCAGGGTCCATTCTCCACATAGTGGACAAGGTAATGCCTCAAAAACCCAAACACATTCTGGGCACCGTGCTTCATCCCTCCCCAGCAGGGTGCTGAGTACACAGTTGATGCTCAGTCAGTCAGTGTCGCTTACGTCAGCGGTTTCCAAAACCCCAAGGCCCTCTCACGAGCTCCACAAAGTCAAAACTGTTTTCATGATGATACTAAGAGATCAGCTGCCTTGTTGACGCTCCTTTTCTCACAGGTATACAGTGAAGCTTCCAGAGGCTTCCGTCGCTATGACGACGTAGTGACTTCAGTGGGCTGGACAGGGAGGTCTGAGCACTGGCTATCTTCCAGCAACAGGCTGTAAAGAGACCTCCACACGCACAACAGGGCCACGCTCACGAGGTTTCTTCTGTTTTGCCGAAGATAGTTTATTTTTCACAAACATTCATGAACGCTGAGCTTATTTTCAGGTTTTTTTTTTTTTTTGCTATTATAAGCAAGACTGTGATAAATATCTTAGGTATGTAAAATCTTTCCCCACATCCTCAACATTTTCCTTAAAATAAATTTCCCTCTTCTTCGTCAGCAAAGCCTGAGTCCTGTCGTCTCACCTTCCTCCCATACAGCATGAGCTTCACCACTCGCTCCACCTTCTCTACCAACTACCGGTCCCTGGGCTCTGTCCAGGCGCCCAGCTACGGCGCCCGGCTGGTCAGCAGCGCGGCCAGTGTCTATGCAGGCGCCGGGGGTTCTGGTTCCCGGATCTCCGTGTCCCGCTCCACCAGCTTCCGGGGCGGCATGGGGTCCGGGGGCCTGGCCTCAGGGATGGCCGGGGGTCTGGCAGGAATGGGAGGCATCCAGAACGAGAAGGAGACCATGCAAAGCCTGAACGACCGCCTGGCCTCTTACCTGGACAGAGTGAGGAGCCTGGAGACCGAGAACCGGAGGCTGGAGAGCAAAATCCGGGAGCACTTGGAGAAGAAGGGACCCCAGGTCAGAGACTGGAGCCATTACTTCAAGATCATCGAGGACCTGAGGGTTCAGATCTTCGCAAATACTGTGGACAATGCCCGCATCGTTCTGCAGATTGACAAGGCCCGTCTTGCTGCTGATGACTTTAGAGTCAAGTATGAGACAGAGCTGGCCATGCGCCAGTCTGTGGAGAATGACATCCATGGGCTCCACAAGGTCATTGATGACACCAATGTCACTCGACTGCAGCTGGAGACAGAGATCGAGGCTCTCGAGGAGGAGCTGCTGCTCTTCATGAAGAGGAACCACGAAGAGGAAGTAAAAGGCCTACAAGCCCAGATTGCCAGCTCTGGGTTGACCGTGGAGGTAGATGCCCCCAAATCTCAGGACCTCGCCAAGATCATGGCAGACATCCGGGCCCAATATGACGAGCTGGCTCGGAAGAACCGAGAGGAGCTAGACAAGTACTGGTCTCAGCAGATTGAGGAGAGCACCACAGTGGTCACCACACAGTCCGCCGAGGCTGGAGCTGCTGAGACGACGCTCACAGAGCTGAGACGTACATTCCAGTCCTTGCAGATCAACCTGGACTCCATGAGAAATCTGAAGGCCAGCTTGGAGAACAGCCTGAGGGAGGTGGAGGCCCGCTACGCCCTACAGATGGAGCAGCTCAATGGGATCCTGCTGCACCTGGAGTCAGAGCTGGCACAGACCCGGGCAGAGGGACAGTGACAGGCCCAGGAGTATGAGGCCCTGCTGAACATCAAGGTCAAGCTGGAAGCTGAGATTGCCACCGACCGCCGCCTGCTGGAAGATGGCGAGGAATTCAATCTTGGTGATGCCTTGGACAGCAGCAACTCCACGCAAACCATCCAAAAGACCACCACCCGCCGGATAGTGGATGGCAAAGTGGTGTCTGAGACCAACGACACCAAAGTTCTGAGGCATTAAGCCAGCAGAAGCAGGGTACCCTTTGGGGAGCAGGAGGCCAATAAAAAGTTCAGAGTTCAAAAAAAAATAAATAAAAATAAATTTCCCTCAAAGACTTTAGATAATAATATTTAGGCCGGGCGTGGTGGCTCACATCTGTAATCCCAGCACTGTGGGAGGCCGAGGTGGGTGGATCACGAGGTCAGGAGTTCAAGACTAGCCTGGCCAATATGGTGAAACCCCGTCTCTACTAAAAATACAAAAATTAGCCGGGCATGGTGGCGCGTGCCTCTAGTCCCAGCTACTTGGGAGGCTGAGGCAGAAGAATCGCTTGAACCCAGGAGGCGGACGTTGCAGTGACCCGAGACCTGAGATAGTGCCACTGCACTCCAGCCTGGGTGAGAGCAAGACTCAGTCTCAAAATAATAATAATAATATTTAAATATTATTAAATAATGTTTAAATAATAATACTGTGAAAATAATTAAACCACTCTATAAATTGATTTTTTTTCTTTTGCATTTCTATCTGAGTAGCAACAGAAAGTAAACTGCAACACTTCTGAGTTTATGGTTCTTAATTCGTGGAAACAAAGGCTGTCAAGGAAACCTAAAAGCCACTGCCAGGCTTCATTCAGGTCCAGAACATGATTTCTCTGTGAGAGCGATTACCAGACTTTTTCATGAGACAATGCCTGTCATCGGCATTTAGTTATTCTCCGTATTTTCAAGTTTAATATGTCAGAAAGTTCAATTTTACTAAAGGAGAGACTGGATACAAGGCAATGTGCAGAAGATTAGCCAGAATAGACCAACAAATAAGCCAACAAATAAGTTAATGAATGACTAGTATCTAAGCTGAGGGCTTTGTTATTAAGTTGCTGTGAAGCTTAACAGCAACTGAATATGAGAACATATTAAACCTGTAAAGTTGTACACAAGTGTTACTAAACCATATGGCCTGGCAATATTCTGTTTGAAGTTATTTTAGTTCATCATAATCCACAGTTAACATAGTTTATCTTAATTACCCCTAATAAACATTAAATAACAAAGGTAAGACTTGAGTTTGCTCATCTATCTGAAAAACAGAATGTAACTCTGCCATATAACTGACTTGAAGCAAATTATTCTCCAAAACCTCCAATTTAATGCTCTACATTACAATAAGAATAAATTGGAAACATATAAGAATATTTATAACTAATTAATGAAAAAGTAATTTTCATTTTTAAAAAGGGCCAGGATTGTACGTTATCCTGATGACCTAAAAGACATATTTTGCGAATTCTGTAAGGATTGACTGAGCTAGATCTGTGCAGTGCTCAACAGGCACTGACAGCCACTGCAAGGAACTCTCAGTGGACACCTTTCTCATCGGGGAAAGGGTGACAGGACAGCATGTTAAAGATTAAACATTAAAGGTTAAAGACTACAGTAGCAGCAAGGCTCAGCTTACAAACTGGGACTTCTCAGAAAAGAAACAATCAAAAATTACAGCTAAAGATTTGCAGCTAACAGAAATCTATTCAAAACAAAGCCATCACATGTGGGTGTGCAATTTCTCTAAGAGCGTCCCATCCCCATTATCTCCCATCTGTGAACATTTGCATCTTCTAGAATTACCTGCTGGATACAGGCTGCTGGGATTGCCCCAGGCTTCCCACATGGCCTCGGTCATGGCCTGGATAACTTCTGGCTCCAGGGGAGTGGTTGCATTATAGTCCATATAAACTTTCCTGAAGGAAAGAAAGCAAAGACACCCCTTAAGGAAAAGGAGACAGCACATGGGAAATACGGCTGCTCTGTGTCTATCCCATCAGCAGGAGCAAATAATGTCAAGGGCACGGCGGTCTCCTGCATAAGCACTGCAGACACCCACAAGCTGCACTTGGGAATATCCAGGATCTGCACTACTTGTGGAAAACGTATGCACAATTTCTAATAATCTAGTTTTTGCCAATTCTTTTATAATTGATAGGACTTGGATTTTCATTTAGGTTTTCAAAATTTCTTTCTAGCAAGGCACAGTGGATCGTGCCTGTAGTCCCAGCCACGGGGGAGGCTGAGGCGGAATGAACTCTTCAGGCCAGAAGTTTGAGGCAGTGAGCTATGATGGTGCCTATGAATAGCCACTGCACTCCAGCCTGGGCAACACAGCCAGATCCTGCCTCTAATAACAAACACTCTTTCTACCCCTTGGTAGGGCCCAGATTACCCATCTGACAGCTATAAAGGGCAGATCGTTGGCCTCTTTCTTATGGAAGGAGGGGAACAGCTGCATATTCCCAAGGGAACTTCCCTGTTTGCTGTTTTAACTTCATCAGAGTTTCGCCTTATTTCCCCATACCCGTTTTTGCGATGGCCTGTGGGGTTCGTGGTGACCTGGGCTTCTCCCTGGGGCAGGTGAACTTTGGCCCCAGACCTTGCACTTTCCGTTTCTTTGCCCAGAAAAACTACATGCCCTGCCTCCACCTTACTTTTTTAGATCTTTGTTCCAACTTAGTCCTCTTGTGACCCCCTGCCCCGCAGCTCTGTTTAAAACTACAGCCGGCTGGGCACAGTGGCTCACGCCTATAATCCTAGCACTTTGGGAGGTCAAGGCAGGTGGATCACTTGAGGTTAGGAGTTTGAGACCAGCCTGGCCCACATGGTGAAACTCCATCTCTACTAAAAATGCAAAAATTAGCCCAGTAGGGAGGCTGGGGCAGGAAAATCGCTTGAACCTGGGAGGTGGAGGTTGCTGTGAGCCGAGATCACGCCACTGCCTGGGCAACGGAGTGAGACTCTGTCTCAAACAAACAAACCCACAAAACTGCAGCCACCTATGTCCCTCCCTCCCCAGCCTCCAGGTCCCATTCTCTCCTTCCTTTCCAGGCAGCAGCAGCATCTGACACACTAGACTTGTTCCCTTACTGTCCACCTTCATAGACTGACAGAAGTATGGCTCCACGGGCACAGGGGCTCTGTTTTCCTCACCGCCCTGTCACCAATGCGGAAGCCCATGGGTGCCACACAGCAGGGGCCTGATTTTTATAAGATGACAAAATAAATGCCACAGAAAGTAGATTCCCTGAAAGATCCCTCACTAAGTAAAATTTATCTGTATAAGTTTTTACTAATATCCAAAATCTTTGAAAGCCTTTAGAAACATGTGTAGTAGTCCTGCCTGATATTAATTTACCTAGTTTTAAAATAAACAGCGCTTATACCAATCCACATGAAACCCCAGATACAATGACTAACTACGGCTGTTAAGACACAGAGTGTGGACAGAATGTGCATTAGTTGTAATGAAGCATCTTTTCTGTTCAAAATCACTCAATAGGCTGGGCGCTGTGGCTTGTGCCTGTAATCCCAGCACTTTGGGAGGCCAAGGCGGGCCGATCACCTGAGGTCAGGAGTTCAAGGTCAGCCTGGCCAACATGGCAAAACCCCATCTCTACTAAAAATACAATAAAATTAGCCAGATGTGGTGGCACATGCCTGTAATCCCAGCTACTTGGGAGGCTGAGACAGGAGAATCGCTTGAACCCGGGCAGTGGATGTTGCAGTAAGCCGAGACTGCGCCTCTGCACTCCATCCTGGGTGACAGAGTGAGACTCCATCTCAATTAAAAAAAAAAAAAATCACTCAATAGGTACAAGGCTTTGACAAGTTTGACTTGCCGTCCTTTACCACTCTGGTACTAGTATTAATGTCAGGCCTCTGAGCCCAAGCTAAACCATCATATCCCCAGTGACCTGCATGGATACATCCAGACTGCCTGAAGCAACTGAAGATCCATAGAAGTGAAAAGTCTTAACTGATGACATTCCACCATTGTGATTTGTTTCTACCCCACCCTAACTGATCAATGTTCTTTATAATCTCCCCCACCCTTAAGAAGTTTCTTTGTAATTCTCCCCACCCTTGAGAACTTTGTGGATCCAACCCTCGCCCCCAAAACATTGCTCTTAACTCCACCGCCTATCCCAAAACCTATAAGAACTCATGATAATCCCACCACCCTTGCTGACTCCTTTTTCAGACTCAGCCCACCTGCACCCAGGTGAAATAAACAGCCTTGTTGCTCACACAAAGCCTTTTTGGTGGTCTCTTCACACAGACCCGTGAGACATTAATAGTCTCAGGAAACCCCCAGCCCGGCTTGACTTTGCATGTGTCCTTAAGTCTGTTTCTCTTTCCTATAAATAAGCATCCAAAGGACCTTAGTCTAGCTAGTGTTTGTTGGGCGACTATAGCTCTTCAATCTGCTGCTGGGCTAAACAAATCTATGGCTCGAATTTCAGATTAATACTTTACACATTCCTTTGCTTCATTATTTGCTGCTTCCTTAAAATGCTATCAGTATTGGATGAGCAGGCTCAACTTTATTAGTTTCTTAACCAAAAACTAAAAAGTCTTGGGAATCTCGCTCCACTGATTCCATAGGGGATATTTTCCCAGATCCCTTCACTTTGTTCCAACCAAAGTAGAATGCCAAATGTGTGTGCTTTAGGCCTGGACCCCTCATATTCTAAGCATGGGTAGCTAATGAGCTCACAAAAAGGAAAAAGAGGGGTCTGGAAAAGAAGACACACAGGCCGGGCACACAGGCCGGGTGCGGTGGCTCACGCCTGTAATCTCAGCACTTTGGGAGGCCGAGACGGGCGGATCACGAGGTCAGGAGATGAAGACCATCCTGGCTAACACGGTGAAACTCTGTCTCTACTAAAAAATGCCAAAAATTAGCCGGGCGTGGTGGCGGGCACCTGTAGTCGCAGCTACTCGGGAGGCTGAGGCAGGAGAATGGCTGAACCCGGGAGGCGGAGCTTGCAGTGAGCCGAGATCGCGCCACTGCACTCCAGCATGGGCAACAGGGCGAGACTCCGTCTCAAAAAAAAAAAAAAAAAAAAAAAAAAAAAAAAAAGAGAGAGAGAGAAGACACACAGACCGGAAAATGCATACCCCTGCCTCCCGCCCTTCTCGGACTTAACAAGTGTGGACACCACGTGCTCCGGGTCTCCGCTCTTCTCAGCGGTGGCCATCCCCAGTTTCCTGCAGCTGGGACAGTAGCCTGGGAGAATACTTAATTCCCTTTCACCTGTCCCGGTGCAACAGCTTCCTACCAATGCATCCGTTTCTGGGGGCACACCACATCTCCCTCCTAGACGGTTACAAGATCCCCAACTGGCTTCCCGGCTCCCTCCCGTCCCAGGCTCCTACTTTCTAGGAAACAGCCAGAAGGACTCCTTCAAAACACTTAAATTGCATCGCTCCGTGATCAACCTCCGAGGCCCCATAAGGCTCCGAATGAACCCCTAAGTTCTTCCCGGGTCAGGGGCTCCGCCGGGTCACCTCCGACAAGTCCCCTGCCCTTCGCATCTGCTGTGCCCTCTTCCTGGCAGGCTCTGCTACCCCAGAACCTGTAAACCTCACCCCTGGAAGTCACTCGAGTTTCGGCCCCAAAGTCACCTCTCCGTGGCCCCTTCCCGGGCCACAGCTCGCACCTGCTCCTCCTCGAAGCTCGCATCCCTGACTTAGACCGACCTCGAGGACAACCCCGCGCGGGACGCCCCACGCGAGAGCGGCCACAGGCCGGCAGCGCCCTCCGTCCTCCCGCGCGGGACACGCCGGCCGCCTCCCCGGCCCTCCCCTGACGGCGCGCACCTCTCCGGCGAGTTGTGTTTTCCGCAGCCGCTGGGCTGACTCGCCGCGGGTGCGGGCGCATCCCTCCCCGGCGCCACTGCCGCCTCCATCCCAGCCCCACGGTTACCGGGGCTCCAGCCTTCTTCCCGCGGAGCGCTACAAGTCCCGAGCGCTGGGAAGGAGGCGGGGCCGCGACGCCCGGACGCGCCCGGATTGGCTGAGCGAAGCGCCCCCAGCCAATCCGCCCGCTTCACAAGGCCGCAGAGCGCCCAGTGGGAGGCGGGGCTGCGCGGGGGTCAGGTAAAGGATTGGGGCGGGGCCTAGCGCGTCACAGAGCTTCCCGGGAACTTGGCGCAAATCCCCGCAACTTCACTTCCGGGGGAGCCTCGTGACCTTCGCTCTCTGGGGCAGGGCCGCTATCGGGCTGCGGCCGGCTAGTCGGCGTAAGAGCAGGCTAGGCCCGAGCTGGACCTGAGAAGCCGAGGCGGCTGTGCTGTCTTGCGCGTGCCCCCCTCTGGCTGCATGCGCGTGGAACCGTGCGCTCCGGGAGAGCCGGGGCCGCGTGGCCTTGTTCGCCGCGAACACTCGAGGGGAAGTGCCGGAACCACGGCGGCAGGGGCAGGGCCCCGGGAGTCTCCCGCAGGCCGCCCTGGTCAGCGATGAGCAGGTCCGCTGGACCTGCGCGTCCGTAGTCGGAGCGGCTCCATAGGGGACGTGGATGTCGTGAAGTTGGAGTCACGCGTCGAGGAAGGGGATCTGGAGTAGAGGATGGGAGGGCATTGAAAAAATAGGGCGAGAAATGAGGGACTCTAAGTGGGCGTGGAAACGCAGAAAAGATTAATTCAAGATCTGTTTAGGCCGTTAAATAGGAATTGGGGCATGAGGGACAGGAAGGAAGCAAGGATTAGCCAAGTGACTGGAAAGATGTTAGTGCCTTTATCTGGGGTAAGAGGGAACACGGGAGGGGGAAAGATGATGGGTTGAGCTTTGGACATGTTGAGTTGTCTGTGAGACAGTCACAAGTGTAAACATCCACCATTTAGGTGTCCCACCAACCGTTAAGAAAAGTCAGTTGTGAAAGTGGTAAAAAGGAGCAAAAATCCCTGAACTCTCACGAAGCCATCCTACTATCCCTTGTTTTTTTGTTGTTGTTGTTGTTGTTGTTGTTTTGGCATAATAGTGTGTCTGACTTTAATTGAGCCTGGAACTATGCCAGGCAGTGTTCTAAGTATTTTTCATGTGTTCACTAATTTAATATTGATGATTAACCCAGTCCGGTAGGTATCTTGTATATGAGGAATCCAAGATACAGAAAGGCATCTTGCCCAAGTTCACACGAGTAGCGGTGGAGCCAAAATTCGATTTCAAGCATGCTTTGCCAAGAGGTTGAATTTTAATTGGCTTTTCAGGGGCGTTCTCTATTTTATATCCTGTTGGGGTCCAGAATAACTTGACTTTTCCAACACAGCAGATCTGCACATTTCTGGACTCATTCTCTCTCATTTTTCCCTATAAACGCAGCTCATTTCTTGCAAATGCAGCCAATAGCAAAGGGCCCACCAACATTTAAGAAGCAAATGGATGCACAGGAGCATGAGAACAGTCAAAAGAGGAGGAAAGGAAAGTGAATTGGGAAGGAATGTCAAAGAAGCCAAGAAGACAGATAGTAGTGTCAAGTGTGACTGAGAGGCAATCCGAAGTCTACTGTGCATAACGATTAGGAGGCACCGATAAACTAGCGAAGAAGCCTCAGTTGTGGGAGAGGCGTGGAAGTTAGAATGCAAAGATGGGATATGAAAAAATGAAGAATGCACTCAACTCTTAAAATGGTTGAGAAAGGAGGAATTAAAACGGCGTATGAGATTACGGGCAAGCTGGGTGCAGTGGTTCACGCCTGTAATCCTAGCACTTTGAGAGGCCGAGGTGAGTGGATCACCTAAGGTCAGGGGTTCGAGACCAGCCTGGCCAACATGGCAAAACTCTATCTCTACTAAAAATACAAAAATTAGCCCGGTGTGGTGGTGCATGCTTGTAATCCCAGCTACTCGGGAGGCTGAGGCAGGAGAATCACTTGAACCCAGGAGGTGGAGGTTACACACTGGAACTGAAACCATGCCACTGCACTCCAGCCTGGGAGACAGAGTGAGACTCCGTCTCAAAAAAAAAAAAAAAAAAAAAGATTAAGAGCAAATAGAGACTGACCATGTTCATAGGGTAAAGGGAGGTAGCTAACAGGCCATGCCAGAAAGAGGAGCCAAAGTCCTGGAGGAGACGATAGGGGATGAAGTTAAGAGCAAAGATGGCTAGGGAAGTTGATAGGTATGGGGAGAGTTCATTCTCTAAATCTGTTTGGAAGGCCGTAAGGATAGAAGCCTAAGGACAACGGACAAGGTGATGATTCATCCCAAGCACTCCTTGGGCCACCTAGGCAGAAATAAGGTTTGTGTTTCCAGGTGGACATAGTGAGTGTAGTGGTGGAGTCAGACAAGATCGTGTCCAACATGGAATGGTGATACCCAGAAAGAATTGAGTACAAACAAACAGAAGCCTAGGTGTTGAGATAGCCCAGCTGAAAACAGTGAAGGGTGTAACATGCAGCAGCGGCTACCGCCATTCCAAGTGTACTGGTTACACACGCAACATGACCTACCAACATGTCTCTAATAGAAACGCAATTGCCCCATAGTGGCCAGACATTTGAGGAATGCCATCTCCATGAAGATAGCACATGCACCAAATAGAATTCTCACCTAAGGGAAAAAGTTAATAGAGCTATCAGAGTAAGTCTCCAATACAGCAAGATCTTGAGACAAATGGGTATTTTATTAAAAAAAAAAAAAAAGGCAGTCATGAAACAAGAACAGTGAAAAGAGATACTGGACATTAATAATCGAAGTTTAAAAAACAGAGTTGTCAGGGGTTGGGGGAGGAAAGGATGCATAGGCAGAGAACAGAATTTTTAGGGCAATGAACTATTTTGTATACTATAATGGTGGATACATGTAATATATTTGTCAAAATTCACAGAAGCTACAACACCAATAATGGATCCTAATATAAACTATGGACTATGGGTGATGATCTGTTAATGAAGGTTAATCACTTGTTAACAAAAAATACCACAGTGGATGTTGATAGTGGAGGAGGTTGTGTGTGTGCACAGGCAGGGGATATATGGTAACTCCTCAATTTTCAAGTGAACCTAAAATTCCTCTAAAAAAAAAAAATTTTTTTTTTTTTTCAGAACCCCCCAACAGATGGGTTGAAGAGCAGAATAGGCATAGCTGAGGAGTGAATTCGTGAACTGGTCCTAGGAATTCTCTGATTATTGCTCAAAAGGATAGAGATGGAAAATATGAAATAAAATCGTCCATTGAATACGGTGATTCTCAGGCAGGGGTGATTTTTCCTTCCAGGGGTCCTTTGGTCGTATCTGGAGACAATTTTGGTTGCCATAACGGGAGCTGTGGTGCTTCTGGGCTGTAGTGAGTAGGGGCTATTTATACTACTGAGCATCCCTACAATAAATTATTAGCCCCAAAGTGTCATCAGTGCCAAAGGGGAGAAACCCTGATGTGGTTCCACGTTTCCATTTGGTATCATTTCTTCTGCCAGAGGACTTTGTATTGCTAGTCTGCTGGTATGCTTCCTTCAGCTTTTGTACACACGAAAACTCGGTATTTTGCCTTCATATTTAATATGTTCCTTAGATCTAGAATTCTGGCTTGAGTTTTTTTTCTTTCAGCACTTGAGAGTTACTTCTTTAATATTTTCTTGCTTGTGTTGTCTGCACGAGACATCTGTTGTCACCCCTATCTTTGTTCCTCTCTAGGTTGTCTCTTTATTTCCTTCCTGCTTGCTTTGAATATTTTGCTCTGGCCAGGCACAGTGGCTCATGCCTGTACTCCCAGCACTTAGGGAGGCAGAGGTGGGAGGACAGATTGAGCCCATGAGTTCCAGACCTGCCTGGGCAATATAGCGAGATCCCGTTCTTCACAAACAATTTTAAAAAGTATTTAAAATATTTTGCTCTGTCACTGGTTTTGAGCAGTTTCACTATGAGACTTCATTATGGTGTGGCGTTCTTCATGCTCTCGTGCTCTGGGTTTACCTTTCTAGATCCATTGGATTAGAGTGCTTATCAATTTGGAAAATTTTTCTTTTGAAATATTTTTCTCCCCTGCTTCTTTGGGGATTCACAATTAGGAGTTATCTCACAGCTCATGAAGTTCTCATGGCGGGAGAGGTTCCCACTTTTTTCCTTTATTTTGGATTGTCTTTGTTGCTCTGCCTTGAAGTCCATGTTTCTTTTGCAACATATAACCTGCTGTTAAAGTCATCCAGTGTCTTTCTCTATTTGATTTTTTTTTTTTTTTAAGATGGAGTCTCTCTCTGTCGCTCAGGCTGGAGTGCAGTGGCGCGATGTTGGCTCACTGCAACTTCGCCTCCCGGGTTCAAGTGATTCTCCTGCCTCAGCCTCCCAAGTAGTTGAGATTACAGGCATGCACAACCACGCCCAGCTAATTTTTGTATTTTTAGTAGAGACGGGGTTTCTGCATGTTGGCCAGGCTGGTCTCAAACTCCTGACCTCAGATGATCCCCCTGCCTTGGCCTCCCAAAGTGCTGGGATTACAGGTGTGAGCCACCGAGCCCGGCCTGTAATTTTTAATTGAATGCTAGGCATAGTATATTTTCTCTGATGGTTGCTGGATATTTATCTTTTTTCTTTTTCTTTTTTTTTTTTTTTTTTGTAGACAAGAGTCTTGCTCTGTCACCCGGGCTGGAGTGCAGTGGTGTGATCTCAGCTCACTGCAACCTCCTCCCAGGCTCAAGCAATCCTCCCACCTCAGCCTCCCAACTAGCTGGGACTACAGGTGCATGCCACCACACCTGGCTAATTTTTGTATTTTTTGTAGAGATGGGGTCTCACCATGTTGCCCAGGCTGGTCTCCTGCGCTCAAGCCATCCTGGCCTCTGCCTTAGCCTCCCAAAGTACTGGGATTACAGGCATGAGCCACCACTCCTGGCCTGGATATATATTTTTAATTAAAAATTTTATTGAGATCATTGTAGATTTACATGCAGATGTAAATAAATGAAAGAGATCCTGGCCAGACGCGGTGGCTTATGCCTGTAATCCCAGCACTTTGGGAGGCTGAGGTGGAAGAATCACATGAGGTCGGGAGTTCAAGACCAGCCTGACCAACACGGAGAAACCCCATCTCTACTAAAAATACAAAACCTTAGCCAGGTGTGGTGGTGCATGCCTGTAAT